TTTGTGTACCTGTTTGAGCTCGGTTTTGATTTTCTTTGTTGCAGCTTTATTTTCAGTTTATCTTTTCCCAGTTTACTTAAGCTAGACTCTGGCCAGACCTTGGCTCGTAATATATCCTTAAGGTATGCATTAATTACAAGGATCATAAAAACAGGATAAAGGCAACCTGCGAAATGCAATGCCAGCCAGACACGAATACCCCGAAAACCCCGGGAGATCCTTTCGCCTTTTACTTTGTGTTACTTTCTGCATTTTACGGCCAGACAGACTAAGGATTTTGGAGTAGATATTTGGCTGGTCCTCCAGCTTCAGCCTCCCACCTCCTGTTTGCTCCCTTTATGGCATTCCATTGTCTTCCTACTGTAATCAGGCGGCAAATTTCGAGTGCATAGTTTATATGCCTCCCCGCAGAAATACATATCTTCGGCCCAGCTGCAAAGGCTTTTCATAAATGGCTGCTTTAAAATTTCCCAAAGAGAAGACGGGCTGGCAAACAAATGACGAACTCATGTCGGAGGCTCATTTGTTTTATGGCCCACGCTTAGGCAGGCAGATGATGTCCCCATCCACTCTACTCAATGGTGGCCCAGTTATTTGACACGCTTTTTTGCAGCCTTAGCTGAAATGAAGACCCTCAGCCGAGGAGCTGCCATTCATTATATGGAGTGGAGAAAAAGGCGAGAGGATTTATTATAAAGACGGGGTTCGGTTGGGGTTCTATAACTCAAAAACAGTTGTTTGCAAGGCGCTCAAACTCTAAGAAGGTGGCTTATATATGATTATGTACCAAACTTTTTAAAAGAATTTGTTGAAACTACATGTTTTCATTCATAAAGTCTAAATAACAATAGTTTTTATTGTACCTTTGTAACAAAAACAATTTTCTTTGCTTGCTACAACTATTCCCTTTTTAGTCCTGTATGCAAAATATAATTGCCTACTTTTCGGAGGCGGCAGAAGATAAAACCTTCAAAGCAGCATTGCGGCTGCCTTATCAACTTTATTATGCCAACGCCGAAAGTGGAGAAATTAAGAACAACTGAGTGTGAAAGCAAGAGGTGGAATGGCCATAAAGCAGGCTCTCTTTCTCTGCCGAGATAGGTCTCAACTGCAAGCGAGACAAACACACACATAGTGCCTGAAAAGTGTTTCAATGTCCTATGTGTGTGTGTGTGTGTTAGTGAGTGGTATATGCCTTGTTTATCTCTCTTTTGTTTGTCCTTGTTGAACCAGCTTCCACCCCCTTGTCACCCATTTAGCTCCCCGCGAAAAAGTGTCTTACTTTGCTCGGCTTGTGCGCTATTTTCGATGCTTTCACAAATTCCACGAAGAAGTGTGCATGTATGCGAGCAGGGGCGTGGAAAAACATAAAAAAGGGATTAAACTTTAAAAATTATTTATAAGAATTATATTCATATATTTGTAATTAGAAGAAATTCAAAGACAAAGAAGTATATCTTGTCCATCAATCCCCCTTTATTAAACCCTACCTACACCCCTGTCTCTGAGAGAGAGATTCAGCAAGGAGTGCGTATTTTGGCTACCAACACTTGCTCCTGACCGCCTGTTCCAAATTATTCGCTTTGTGTGGGTGTATCATTCACAGACACATGCCCACAAAACAGCGACAATGAATAGCGATTGGTGTGTGTGAGTGAGCCATGTTGCTGGCAACATTTCGGCGTAACTGTAATTTTTGTGCCAAAAATGTTGCCGGTGCCATTGAAATGCTTTCGAGTGTTTTGATAGCGGGCCAACTAAGCCCGAGAGATTTTACTCATATGCACACATCATCCTGGCAATTTTAAGCGGCTTACAACGACGATGATGCCGTCGCAGAATTTTCATTATAAAGCCAAAGGTTGATATCCTTGCCGCCTACCCGCCCTGGGCAACCCACCTTTCGCCCGAAAATTTCCATCATTCGCCTCAAGTGCGCAGTCGACTTCAAAAGGCTGACAAATTCTATGGCTGGCTGGGAGTCGTGGGCAAACACAGATCACATCTTATCGGGAATCATTTTATGAGCAAAATTAATACGCTTCAAGCCAACTGGAGCGTTGAGAGCCAACGAGGCGACCGAGACCAAGACCGAGGAAATTTGTAGACGTTTTTGTCGTTGCCCAGGCAACTTGAATGACGGGAACAATATAATGAGCCAAGCCAGGTGGCAGGAGCGAGTGCCAAGGATATAGACAAAAAGATACTTTTTTTCACTAGAAAAAATAAACAGGCTTGATTTAATAATTTATTTATTAAGAATTGTTCACTAAATTAAGAAATTATGATACTTTAAAGGTTTAAATTAAAAGCCTAGGTTGGTTTTATGTAAAGAAACTCTTTTTAAAAGGTATCAGAGTGCTTTGATAACGTCTTAATGAATAAATAAAATCATAAACATTTATTTCAAGTGTAATTGAAGGCTGACGGGCAACGACATCGTCATGGAAATTCTTCATTAACTCAACTCTGGGCGCTGAGAGAAAAGAAGTTTATGTTATTAAGAACATCGAGGCGTGGGCGTTGAATGATGGTAAAATGGGGGCGTGGCTAGGCTCAACGGCAAATGGTTAGTGGCAGGAGAGTTGTGCCAGTGGCAGCTGTTGTTGTAGTAAAATGTGTGTTTTACTTGACAAGAAAGAGATAACGGTAAATGAATATGCAGCAATTTGCACGCCCACATAATGAGCAAGGGCTATAAGGAGTATGGGAGTGGGCGTGGGAGTGGCAGTAGAGGGGACTTGGTAAGGGGCTCAGATTGTGCCGCCGGGCAGAGACTGAAATAATAACAGCAACAGCAGAAAAGCAACAGCATCAGCCGCTAAACAAAAGTCGATAAACATAAACCAAGCGGAGCAGACGAGCCCTGATAAGTGTGCTACACTTTCCACGGGAAACGGAAGGAGTGCGCTCAAGTGCTTGAATGTGGGTGTGTGTGTTTTGTGTGTGTAGGTGAGTGTGAGGCAAAAGTAAATTAAAACGATTTTAATTACGGTTGCCAAGACGATGAATGAAAATGTCAACGATGCCGTACGACAGCAGGTGGGCGTGGCGCCCGGCTAAGTGAAGGAGTGCGGAAAAATAAGACAGATCCTAAAAGCCTTTTGCTGTACCGCTTGCCATGCAGCTGTGTGAATTATAGCCACATGTATGTATCACTGAAAAAAGTTGGGAATTATTTCTAAAGAAATCGTATAAAATGAAGAGCTTAAAGTTTTATGAAAATACAAAACACTTTTATGTGTAGCTTCTGCAAGTCTCTCAAATAAAGGAAGCCGGGCCACGTTCAAGATTTTCATTTAGACGCTCCGCCGTGTTGTCTTTAGCTACTTGACAAGACCCCCAAAGCCAAAGTCACTGCCAAGAGCAACAGTAGCCAACTTTAACAAATAAAAGTGTTTACAGGAAGACAAAAAAAAAACTAGGAAGAATACGAAATAGAAGAGCTACCAGCAGCTCCTAACTTAGACAAACAAGCTCCATTTTTATGAGGCTCTTTTGTCTTTTTTCTGCTATTCCGGTTCTGGAGGTTTCCCCCTTTTTTTATACCTTATTAACGCTCGCTCAGTCGCTCGTTGAAAATGAAAAGTTTTCGCGGCGGGCGTGAAATTTTTTGCTTTTGTACCACAACCAACAAAAAAAAAATAGGAATGCTGAAAAGCCACGAAAAAAAATGGGGAGAAACCATGGCTGGCTGATTAACTTGACACGGCCAAAAAGTGGCGTGACTCGAGCGGCAAGGTGGGGCGGGACGGAAAATTCACCAGGTGCCGGGCGGGAAAATTTACAAGATGAGGGGGAAGGAGATTCGCGGTTTGAATGCAGCTGACAGGCAGCACCTGTCGCCGCTGCGGAAGTGTCGACTGTGAATGCGACTGCGTCTGTGGCCGGCAAACCACCGCTTGACATTTCCTTGGCGACGACGCTTTTCAAGGAAATGCCAAAAACGAGCCCGGGAGGAGAGTGTGGGGAAGCCGGTGGCGAATGGGTTGCAGACCCCTGCGGTGGCCTTGTGTATCTTATTTTGTGACTGCATTTAAGTGCACTTTTTATGCGGGATATTTAAGCTTAATCCACTGAAAGCCAAACTTTGTCCAGGGGTTTATCTTCATTAATTTCCATGAAACTTTTTAATACCGCTTAACTCGGGTTTTATCCCAAAATTATACGATGGAACATTATTTGATTTGGAGAAGGAAAAGGGACTAATAAAAGGTTAAAGGAAGAACTCTTCTGCCCGAAAGTAGGCCAATATTATTTGTACCTTTTCTTTTCTATTTGGAACAGGAAATGGGAATTCAAGAATTCTTGAATTCTTATTGGAGAATGTTTGAAAATGTTCTTTTAAATTCCACACCCACTATTTTAAAGTTTGGAATATAGAACATCCAAAATCTTCTCTGAAGATTTCACCCAATGAAATAGCGATTTCTGTTCACACTTTTCGCAAGCTCTCTCTCGCCTGCATTTCAACTCCCCAAAGTATTTAAACTTCTTCGGGAAAACTGAAACACTTCACTCCAAACATGTTGACAGCTTAACAGGAAGTCTGCCTCAAGGACTACGACGACACCCCGAAAAAAGTTGATTCCCTGCCTGCCCTCCTGCCCACCCCTAGCTCATCCTCCAACAGATAACTTTAAGGATCGGGCACCAGGCCAAAAAGTGTTACAGCTTTGGTGGCAAAAGTTTGCAATGCATCGCAGAAAATGGCAGACAAAGTGCCAAAAGGTGAGAGGTCGGTATGAAAATGCGAGGGGAATTTTTGTTTGAATAATTATATATAGGAAGATGAAAGGGATCACAGCGGCAGCGAGGCGAAACGAGGGCCTATGCAATCCTTTCAAGTCAAGGCTAGTGACCCTTTTTTTATTAACACTGTTTGTCAAGGACTTGGGGGAGAGTGTCCTTTGATCCCAAGGATAAACAAAAGACACAAGCTCAAATTGACCAACAAAATAATCGTAAATCCGGCCATACAAGAAGTGCAATTTACTCACCTTTGGACCAATTTTTGGCGGCAATTTACGTTATGCTCTGGGCCTTTATTTGTATGTTTTTCCGTTTTATTGCCACAATAATCCCAGAGAAAACAGCTCGCCAAGTTTTCGCATAAAATTCAATTACGATTGTGAACTCATAAATTTCAACACTTGGCCGGGCCGCGTTTTACGATTACGGCTCTTGATTTCGGTTTCGGAAAGTGTGAAAGTTTCGGTTAACGCGGCTACTTTGTTATCACTGTTATCAGGCCACGACCACGACTTTGGCAATAAAATTACCCCGTCGCGTCATTAAAAGTTAAGCGGCCCTTTGTGCTAAACTGGCAGATTTGTTAAGTTTTTATGGCTTTTTCTCGTCGTTCTCGGTCTCGTCGTGTTTTCGTTTTTCGGAGATTAAGTTTGCTTAGGGGGATCAGTAGGCTAATTGTGGGGCGCCTTGTCGGGGCCAACCAATGCAGTTGAAAGCGCGCAAGGAACTGTTTATCCTGGCTTCATGTGCTGGCATTTTTGTCCTCGCCACGAAACTTGGCATCCTGCCACACGAAACTTGGCATCCACACACTGCGCCGGCGCTGGACTTGCCACTGGAAATGTTTTTTTTTGGCAGGAGGGTGGCCACTTCCAGTGGACATGCAACTGGTGGTTACGCTTCAGTCCAATCCTCAATGGGCAGCCATATGTGACTGTCGACTGTCGTCTTGGTCGTTTGTTGTCGGTTGTCGTGACAACTTGATTTCTTGTAATTTTATCAGAGGGAAATGCCATCTTATCTAGCACTGCGTTGGGACTCTCTAAAGGTTTCGAATTTAATGAAATTTTATTTGGATTTCTGGCAGGCCACTGCCAGGGGCAACCTTTGAAGGTTCACCCTCCGAATCGCAGTCTCCATTAGTTTGAAATCCAACGCTGATCTATTTATGAGAACGTTTAGCACTGCATACTTTTCAGTGCTCCGGGAGGACTCTAAAAAGAGGGTCGGCGAACATCTGAAAAGGTCTCGCATAGAAGAAGGACATTAAGGCAAATCCGCTTACAGACACAAGTTACAGATACAGGATAAGGGGCCGGAATGAAGATACATTGTTTATGCAAGCGGATTATACGGAGGCTGAGCTCTGCGATGCGACCCCAGATACGGATGCCCAGACATGCAGATGCAGTGGCAGATACAGTAGTCCCCTGCTCACACCCACAAGATGCAGATACAAGCTGCGGTTTTGTGAGCAACATATTGACCTGGCCAAGAGTCTTAGCCCCGGCACAAACAAAACAAAACTGACCGCACCGGAGGGGGTGAGGCGGCATCTTAAAGGTGCAACTGCCATTGCTACTGCAACAGTTGAAATCGGAAACTTAATGTAAAGATTTTGAAAAATTCTTACACAAAAGTCAACGGAGCGTGTTGAACTCATTAACGGCGTTGCCATGTAATTCAATGCCAGCTACCAAATTGGTAGCTCGTATCTCACAGATACGCGGCAATACGTGCACACGTATAAAAAGGGCTAATAAAATGAAAGGAAAAAAGAGTCAGTTAGAGAAAATTGAAACTCGCGTGGATTTTCCGTGATTTTTCCGTCTGCCCTTGCTCGCTTTTTATATGCTTTCCATTTTATTGTTTATTTAGAGCATTGTTTAGCAGGATATATTCCGCCCAGATACATATATCTACATGTCTATTCCCCAGTCGGGCCTGATTTAATGGCTGTAAATTGAAACGAAATACGCGAAATGGAAAAAATGTTGGGCTAGGTAAGCTGAGTTGATTTGGACCCTTTGGGAACAAAAAATAAAGAAAAAAATTATTTATTGAAAAAGTTGGCACAAAGAATTTAAAAGAATAAACTTTGCTGAACGGAATTTGCATTTCATGGTTTTAGGCCGAAAATCTAGCTGGCTTCCGTCATCAATTTTCTGTCCTTTATGGATTTGATTATATTTTATTGGAAAGCCGTCCAAAAAAAAGTTTCATATTTTAGGTTATGCATATTATTCCCCTAAATGTATCTCACACTCTAGGACGTCCTTTCGGCAAAACTCCCTCCTGTTTTTGCCAATTTCTGTTTATCTTTCTTGTATCTTTTTCTCGTTTTGCTTATATTACAAGCGGAAATTTGATTTGTTTCTGATAAATGCCATTTATTTTACTTGTTTAAGTCGAATATCCACCTCCACCGGCGTCTGCCGCTCCTCTGCCGTCCCTAACTTTCCATGAAATTCAATTGCCAAATTGATTTAACTTTTTCACTTCCTTCCCCTGGCGATGCCTCCGCTTTAAAACCGTGAAGCTTGGCGTTGAGCCACAGATAATTGAATGATTTGAATTTTTATATTGAATTTGGCTTTATACATAGCTGAACACGCCCACCATCGCGGAAAGGCGGATTTTCATCATATTTGGCAATTGTGCGAATTTTTTTTTTTTGTTGCCCCTCTTTGTTGTGTTGCGTGGGATTTTTCTATCAAAATGGAAATTGTAGGCGAATTAAAAAATTGCTTATCAATTGACGAGAGCCATATGCTTCAAGGATCAAACGGAGACTAAAATTGATTTTGCCCTCTGCCCCCCGGGGAACCCTCATGCCTGGACCCTCCCAATATTTATGCCGCAATTAAGCATTAAATTAAGTTTTTCACTTGGCAGCGACTTAATTGAGTTGTATGTGTGAATTTCATTCCCATGGCATCGGAAGACGGAGAATAAATGGTAAAAGAACCGCCCGGGCGGGGGTGAAACCCCCTCGGAATTTAATTTAATCCACTGAAGCGTTACGCCGCCAGAAAATGCATAGCGAATTTTTTCTCTGCCAGCCTTCTTTCAATTATTTCAGTTGGGAGTGGGAATGGGAATGGAAGACAACTGCCCGCATGATGATGTAACCATTTGGACGAAGAATGGCCAATGTATACATGTTTTTTTAATGATTCCTCTGTGCCGACATAAAGTCTAAAGAGAGCTCTTTTCTTCTAAAATATATCAAAGAAAACCCACGACCGGCTAATGGCAAGGTGCTCTTGAGTTCCTTTTGTTTGACCCAGAACAAAAAACGAAACTATTGCTTATTGGTTCGGGGAAAGCAACTAGAGCGTCTAGGAGTCTTTTGCCACTCGTACCTCAAGTACCACTCCATAGTTCGACCTTTGTTTCGCAATCGAGTTTCAATTCAAAAGCAATACAAACACGCACTGCGGGTGCCACTTCAGACAAACAATTGGAATTCGAAGTGGAAATGCGAATGGAATCGCTCCAGAAACTGCGTCACCATAAATTGTAATTACCCAGAATTCACGCGACCCATGGCATCGAGAACTACACAAAAAAAAATGTGTCAGCCAAAGGGCGTATGCAGCGACACTTCCCGGGCCCAGCCCCCTTTTGGACGGCTGCCTCCTGGGCACGCCCGCTGGCACCAGAATCCAGGTACTACCGCCCGTCGTTTAATGCTATATCTGTAGGGTTAGGGATGGCAGCGTGAGTCCTTTTTTTATGAGCTATATAAGAAACTTAATATTTTAAATTTTATAAAAAAAAAGCCACAATGCAATGTAGCATTTCTACAGGAAAATCTATAAGTACTTTTAGTTTTTAGGATTTCTTTCTAATACAGTTGTTAATGCTTAGCAAGTATTCGCCATCCTTTTTGTCTATTATAATTTTTAAGCCCCAAGTCCTAAAGTATAATACATTTCACGTTTCCATCTCTAGTCACTAAGCATATGTGTCACATAACCAGTAAAAACGTTTACAAATGAATTAGGCCAGTCCATCGACGGCTGTTAAGAGCGCAGGCGCACAGCTTGAGGTCGAGCCTGAGTTAAAAAACGCAAAACGTCATGCCAGACACACTGACGCAAACCACATGCTGACTTTTTCCAATTTTCCTCGGGTTCCCCAGACCCCACCATTATCCATCGAAACTGGAACCGAACCCATAAGAACTGAGCCGAAGGCATTCCTAATGCAAAACGTGTGGCCACGACACTTGCACACTTTCACGTTGGCATGTGTTTGTCAGATGTCTCCCCAGTCACCCGAAAACACATCTCATATCACATCAGCCATTCCAAACCGAAGGGAATCGTCTTCGGAGACGCCGCAACAAATGGTTTAAAATTAATAACAAAATACAGTCGCTGACAGTAATTGAAGTGTGACATACTTTTAATATGATTACGAGCTGTGTGACTTACAATGTTATTTTAAAGTCGAAACTCGCCTCGAATGCTGATGAGATTACACAGGGTAATGGTGTGCCAGGGCCCCAAAAAGCCAATTAGTTTTCCCATTTCACGTCTTTGATGATGGGTTTACTGGGTGTCGAAGAAAACTCATAAGTTTCAAGGCAATTTTATCTGAAGAATACATAGGATAGACTTTTAATTATGAAATATACTCTTAATCCAAAAAACCGTAAAACAAAAATATGTAATCATTTCTTATAATTTATATGCTTACTGAAAGTTTTAGAAGACAAAATAGAAGAAGACAAAAATTTTAGAATACTCTATAAATCCTATATAGACAATTACCATTAGGGCTCTTAATTTAAAAGCCTTCAAAAACTAACTTAGTCCTCCCCCAAACAACAACTAAAGATAGAATAACGATGTGTCAATGAAAACATTCTGCTTGAACATACTTCCATACTATTCCCTTCCCATGAACTTCTCTCGAGTCCATTTTCTGCTCTCACCTCGTAAAAGCCACAAAAACTAAATCTTACCATTTCCCTTTCACCTTGAGGGCCAAACTCAGTTAGTTGAGGTCATATCAATAGTTTGGAACTTGCGGCCAACATAAAAGTCAAGAACTTAATTTCCAGCTGCTGTCATTTTAAAAAACAATATTCAGTTTTATGGGACTTTTTCGGGCAAGGAGGAGTGGAGAGTACCAGGAACAACTTTTCGATATCCGTGGCTATATCCGGTCCCTTACAAAAACACACTCACACAGATACTCTGACAAACACAGATGGCGGGCGGTTGCCACTTTGTTGGCTCTGTCGAAAGTCGCAGCTTAAAACAAATAAAATGCGAATGAAAATGTATTTTATGCATGTTGATGCTGTCGTCGTCGTTGTCGTTGTGGAGTGCATTGTTTTTGCAGTGACAACAACCAGACAGACACACGGTACGATGTACACCAACACAGAACGTTTCACCTGCACACACAAACAAATATAAACAAAGATTCCGGAGGATTCTGAGGAGCACACGTGATGTTTGCCTGCCAGAAACTGAAACAAAAGCGACTTGCTCCTGCCATATCTAAACTGCTTAACTCTCAAGGAAGCGGCTCAAACAGTGTCCTCGAAATGGTTTAGTCCAAGGTGATTAAAGGACACTGCGATTAGTTATTATTAGTTTAAGGAGATAAGTTTTATGGAAAATAAACATAAATAGAGTTGGTATTGGAATTCAAACTAAGAATAGGATTAAAGCGAGGTGGTGACTATCTGCTTAT